GAGGCTTGAGCATACTGCGGTAATAACACTGACATTTTTTTTAGCTATAAGTTTGACTGCATCATATAATAATTGCTGTTAATAGTGTTCATTGTCTGTTTGATTACGTCTTTAATTGATTTTTCCGTACATTTCTGCCATATGTACATTAACTGACAGTCACCACTGATAAGCTACCACTAAATATTGTAGAAACTTAATTTGCTGTAAAGTTGCTTTGCAACGATTTGTATCGTGAAAACGCTATACAAATAAACTTGAATTGAATTGAATAGAAAATATGACACTTTAAACCATACTTGTACTCTTCTTAGATATTGTTTTCACAAGTTTTAAACCAATAAGTACAAATACTTATCAAATTTTCAACCTTTGCGGAGAAGCTCACCAAAATGATTGACGAACGTCTCTTTGTATATATACATTGTAAATAATTATTTGAACAAAGAAAGATTTTTAAGAAACTACTATATCAGTCTTTCTACTTTAAAATTAAACTTTTAATTCAGTGTGTTTCTTTGTAATTATTTATGAAATTTACTCGCCGTTTTTGAGTGAAAATTTGTTTTAAAATCATTGTTTTCAAAATTGTTGCTTCAAATTTTTCAAAAATTGTGCCAAATTGTTTTCAGTGTAGTGTTTCTGGAAGACAAATCTGAGAACTTTTACGGAGAAACTCACGAAGACCAAGATAGTAAACGAACATCTTCTGTCTGCAATGTCTTCACAAAATCTCGCAATAAATGTTGTTGAGAACGTGACATCAATATTGAATTGATTTTTTTTTTTTAGGTTGAGGGGGCAAATTTTCAAGTCAATTTAAAAACTAGTTGAGACACTGAAAACGTCAGAAATTCAGAAACTGGAAGATTTCAAAACATTTATGCAAAATGTCATTGAAATAACTAAATTGCAAAATAATTTTTTACAGTGTATGCAAGTAGTACTAAAACAACTGTTCCAAACCTGAATGATTTTCTTTCATCTGCAGAACACAAAATAAGTTATTTTGAAGAAATTTGTTCATACAATGAAAGTCAGTGCAGTCCAGAACATTGGACCATTGGACTCCATTGACTTAGACAAAAAAAAAAAAAAAACTCAAAAGAAAGTAAGTCATAAAGGTTTGAAATGACATACGTTGCCTTCTATGTGTACATTTATTTTATTTATTTATTTTTTTCAGTTAATGCACCTTGGTATTGCAGGCATTGCTAGGGCATGGACTGCATTATAAGAAGCTGGTTTTAGCTCATCAGCTTTCAAGGCACAATAGCAATGTGTCTATATGATAGATCTACAAATTCCAGTGAGTTTTAGACATAACCAAGTAAATTATTAATGCCTAGAAATGCCTAGAAAACATGGTAAATGGTAAAATGGTAATTAATAATAAAAAAGGTAATTAATTTATATCTTTCAACAGGACCAGCAAAGATGTTTATCCAGGAACATGTCCTACTTGGCTAAATCACAATCAACTTGATTTGTACAACTGACGCAGCATATTGATTGACCGAGTACTTTCACAAATATATGAAGCAGCTCTAACACTGCCAAATATTAATTTCCTGTAAATGTCCAGTCCTTCAGTGGAGGAGACTGCCTCTTGTTCTCAGTCTGGTAGATGTGGTGCTTTTAACTTTATAGTTGACTTTCACAGCAGATCATGACCTTCTTCGATGCCATTGTTCGTTTGCGAAGGGCATGAATGCTTGCACACCTTGCATCAAGGTTACAGAGTTAATTGAACAATTACGCTGGACAGGACCTCCAGTATGTCTGCAGAGATAGTGAGGATGCCGAGCGAGATCCTGCACGCGATTAGATGAGGCATGATAGGCTAAAGACCAGGAATCACAATGTGTGTGTGGTACAGTTGCTAATGCTAATTGCACTCCTTCACATGTAGATGTGTTTTGTTTGTCCATGTGTGCTTCTGATCTTTTATATGTGCCAAATTTTGTGCAAGTGTTGTTCCATATACAATTTATCAGCAATTTTGAGTTCTAATGACGTCAAATTTGTCACACGTTTCTCCTAAGAGCTGTAAATGAGTGTGGAACGTATAGCTCAGATCATTTTGCTCAGGTCAGTTTGATATTTTGTAAATGAAATATTATTGGAGTATGTTTTACAAGAAAATACTATGCTAGTCTTTCTGCTTCAAAATGTCATGTTTAATTCAGTGTTTCTTTGTAAGTTTTTGAATTTACTAGCAATTTCTGAGTAAAAATTGTTTCGTTTTCAAAATCATTGTTTCAAAATTGTTTAAAAAATTGGTCCAAATTGTTTCCGTGTAGCGGAGATGAAAATCAATTGGGTCTGTTTCTAGAAAATCTGAGAAGTGAGAGATTTCTCCATTTGTGACCCTGGAGCACAAAACCAGTCTTAAGTCGCTGGGGTATATTTGTAGCAACAGCCAAAAATACATTGTATGGGTCAAAATGATCGATTTTTCTTTTATGCCAAAAATCATTAGGATATTAAGTAAAGATCATGTTCCATGAAGATATTTTGTAAATTTCCTACTGTAAATATATCAAAACTTAATTTTTGATTAGTAATATGCATTGCTAAGGACTTCATTTGGATAACTTTCAATTTTATAAAAGGCGATTTTCCTCAATATTTTGATTTTTTTTGCACCCTCAGATTCCATTTTTCAAATAGTTGTATCTCGGCCAAATATTGTCCCATCCTAACAAACCATACATCAATGGAAAGCTTATTTATTCAGATGATGTAAAAATCTCAATTTTGAAAAATTGACTCTTATGACTGGTTTTGTGGTCCAGGGTCACATTTGCTCTCTGTGCTTTGTTTCTCATTATTGAGAAACAATTGAGATAATAAAGAGATCTTGTACACTGTAAAAAAAAAAAAAATTATTTGATCAAAGATTATTGGAGTACATTTTACAAGAAAATACTACTTGACTCATTCTACTTCATAATTACAAATTTTATTTAATGTGTTATTTGCTAATTCTTTTTAATTATTTGTGAAATTTACTATCAATTTCTGAGTTAAAATAGATTCTACACCTATATATTTGTTATTGTATTAAATTTCTCTTCTGGGCAACAGAACAGGGTCTAAGTGTTGTCTTAACCTAACAAGCACATTAAAGCACATCTCATACAGTCTCTGCAGCTTATGCTAAGCTGTTGTGAGCCATGATGTTATAGTGCTTGTCTTGGGCTCACCTGAAATTAACAGGGCTTTATACAAGTTCATGTTGTGCCAGAGGTGGCATCGACCCATGTGATGAATCCGCTGATGTTGTGCTGGTTGTGTGTGTGTGTACTGAGCCAGGTTAGGTCAAAGGGGTAGTGTAGGGCTGTGGCATGTAGCCAGTATGACTGTGTAGTGATTATCCCAGAGCTGGCCAGCGGGCATCTCACGCCTGTGGGTATGGCATCACGCTGCTGGAGGGCACGCTGGCCCTTTAAATGTCATAGAGATAGGGCCAGGACAAGCTCTAAGGCCAAAAAGCCCTGGAAACTCATGGAATTGGAGTCTGTTTTTGTGTGTGTTTGTTATTTGGGATTTGCTGTACGTCCACAAACCCAGTTGGATTTAAAGCGATACATTTTGTAAATAATAATAACACTGTATATCCAAACTTACATGGGTACATACAGTACACCAGCGTTAAGTGGTATGTACTATCACAAATCTCAACTGCTTGATTGTTTACATTGTTGCAAAATAGTTGCATACATGTCATATTCTCACATACATAAAGTAATACATACTGTTTAGCAGTGTTAACTGCCTGATTTTTATATATTTTTAAATTTCATCACAAAATATAAATATATTATTGCCCAGCTCTTTATGTAAAGTTGGATATATAAATATGTCTAACTTTATCCATATACATACAGTATAATCACATATTCTCTATAGCATATCTCAACTGCTTGATTGCATGTATTGTTGCAAATCGTTATAAGACACTCTAGAACAGACTATTTTGTTAAGCGACAATGAATAGCAAAGGAAGAATCCGGAACCGGCTCTCTTGTCTGTGTACTCTTGTATTTGGTTGTTTGATATGCACCGATGCAGTATATAAAAATCTAAACAGCTCTTTGAAAACATGTAAATACTGTTTTACTTCCTTTATGCTGCACGACAAGTGGGGTCGGAAACGGAAATTTGGCTGATTGGCTGTTATTATGAGTGAGTCATTAAATCGTTCTTTAAACCAGTGGTTCCCAACACTGGTCCTGGAGGCACCCCAACACTACACGTTTTCCATGTCTCCTTAATCAAACACACCTGATTCAGGTCATCAGCTCATTAGTAGAGACTTCAAGACCTGAAATCGGTGCGTCAGAGAAAGGAGACATGCAAAATGTGCAGTGTTGGGGTGCCTCCAGGACCAGGGTTGGGAACCACTGCTTTAAACCAATGCAGTCAAAAACACCGAATGTCAAGAATGAACAAGTTGACTGTTTCCATTCAAAGCACTGATAGATTCCGGAAACAAAATACTTTTTATTTCTGAATGAATTAGTGAGTCATTGAATTATTCATTCAACCGATTTGTTCCAAAACACTGACAAGTTTGGCTGTATTAATGAATCATTGAATCATTCAACAGATTCTCAGTAAATGTAATTTGTAAGGGTTACGGAAATTAAATCAGTGCATTAAATTAATTTATCATTTTTATCATGTTTGTTAAAGCAAGTAATACTATTATTCAGTGTTGTAGTACTCAAGACCAGACAGGACCGGACTCTTCAGGACTGTTCACCAAGACCATATTTTCATACTGAGCATTTGGACTCAGTCTTGACTCTAACTCGACACATTTTGTGGTCTGTGCCGACTCGCGCAACTGATCTGCCACCCAGATTACCCTAGCGACTGCGTATGAGTATGCAAAAAACCACTCAGAACATAAAATGTAAAATTCTAGTTCACATCATAGCCGTTTATTTCAATACTCATTTGTCTCTTCCTCCTGTTCTGCTGTCTTTCAGCTCTTCTGTTGGGGGTCTCGGACTGACATAGCCTCGGCCAATCACAGCCTGAGTTAGAAGTGGCGGCCCATAGGGGGCGTGATGGCGGCCATGCCGTTCGTCAGCGAGGGAAAGTGTGTGAGCATGGAGTGGGACTTCCTACATGGGCTCCTCGCCAAACCACCCACCTTACCCTGGTGAGGACAAACACACCTTCACACAAACATACACATCAAATACTGTTCAATTTCTTTCCCGAATTCATTTTTTTCCCCTTATTTATTTATGGATTCTTTTCTTGTTTAAATTTGTCTTTATTCCTTTTTATGGTTAAATTAGATTTTAGTAATCCAAAAGCCTAATTAATTGAAATCATGATAGAATTTAACAACTGTTTAACAAAAAATTTTTTTTAGGGTTCCGCGAAATCTTTCTTTTTCCCCTAAAATTTTATTTTCCCCAAATTAGAATTTGTCCTTTATGGTTTAGTTACATTTTAATACTCAAAAACATATCTAATCAAATGAATTCATAACTACAAAACAAAGGTTTAATGTTAAAATTAAAACATGGAAGACAATTGTGTGAAACTCCTTAAAAAATCAAGTTTTAATCATTTTATTATCGTTATTATTACTTTGAGAAGTACATTCTACTGTACAATAGTACTATATTTCTGTCACAGTTTCTTCCAAGTTAAGCCATATATGATATGATGATAGTTTTCTCAAATGAAATGGAGAGGTGCTGGTGAAGTGACTCTCAGAGCAGCTCTGGAGATGAAGTTCATGTGTTCATGTCCTCATATAGTGAAATGGCAGACGCTGAAAACACCACTAGTATCACGCATGCCTGTGTAGTAGACGAAACCCCGGCACACATTCACACAGAGACATGCATAACTAGCAGACTTCAGATTTAAATAGCAGTCTTTTTGCACTTTAAAATTCACAGACACTAGTCCAAATCGCAGTTTGATTAAGTGAACAGCCCTACTTCAGATTTTTCTTCCAAAATTTGCCAAATTCCGTGACGTGTGTTTTCCACTTCATGGACATAACACACACACACACCTTGATGCATCAAATGAACAATCTTCCCAAACACATAGCTTTCGCTCCTGCCACAGCTTAGTGTAAGCCCTTGGTTTGGATCCATTAGCGGGAGATTAACTAAGTTTTAGTAGAATTATTAATGTCTTCTCAGCTGTGGAGGATATAAAACTCAACAGAATCAATGGCTCTGTATTGATTGAAACCTCCAGGGTCATCTTAGTACAACAATGAGATGTTCTTGGAGACTTTTGTACTTGAACAATGCTGTTTACACACCGAGAAATCTCACAGGACCGAAACACCGATCTACCATGGCACATACAATTCAGTGATATATACCAGGGGTTCCCAAACTTTTTTGTCAGCCAAACCTTTAGAACCCAGTTAAATGGTCACATGATATGCAAGTAAATTGATAAAATATTTAATCGGGGGGGTTTTTTGTAAGTATTTTATTTTGACACTTTAGCTGGAGTTAGTACACTCAAACCTCTTTTAGTTGTGATCGTGTCTCAGTCCACATTACATTCACACTGGTGTTTTAGCAATTTTAAATAATAATTATAATTTCTTGAAATAATAATAATTATTATTTTAACTGTGATTACAAAAATGGAGATAGAAATATATTACTGTTGTAAATTACAAAGTAATGTAAAAATAATATTTGATAATAATAATAATACTTTTATCTAACACTAAAAGTTAATGTCTCTTAAATTCACTTTCAAACATTAAAACTCAAGCTTTAAACATCCTCCAGCCTTTATTTTGCCAGAACACTGCTGAAATGCAGTATTATGTGAATGTGTAAACAAAGTACATCTTTACGTACACTGCGTTCCCAAATGCATGTTAAACTTGCAGCACCAGCAGAATTGGAGTTTGTTGCATTTACTGTGAACCGACAAGTTCTCAGACGATGAGGAAAAAACAAATCACAAGCTGCTCGCATGCCTCACTTTACTTTGAAACATGCAGTGCATCAGACTATCCAGTTATTGAATTAAATCACAGCCTTAGATTTGATAACAGCACTTAGCTTTATCACAATTATCTTGAACCCACAGTTATTTTTTTAAATTTTACAGTGAATATAATTAATTAGTAGCTTTTCATCAACTCACAAACCCCCCTTTAGGAAACCCTGATGTAGACAAACACACATAAACTATCGTTAAAATGCTGGATCACAGAAGTTTGCTGATTTACACACTCCGTCCCTTAAAACACAACACAGTCTTGTCTAAACAATTGAATTAGTCCATTTTCAATTTGAGGAACTGACTCTTTTGTGTGTGCTTTTTGGCAGTTCCCTTTCATTCTGTGGATCGCCCTCTTCACACACACACATTTTTTCCGCGCCGTCCCTCCCTCCCGTGCTCATACTGCCTTGCATCTGCAGGATGAATGAGAATCAATGTCACAGACACAGAAAGAGAGCGAGAGACGCGCGTTCGGCTCCGTCTCGCAGCGCAGTCACAAATTGTAGTCGCCGTGACAACATAATTCCTCCACTCAGGCCCCATTGAGAGCGAGTCGATATCCAATCAGAGCGACAGCTACCTGGGCCTGCCTCCGAGACAACCCCTCCCTCCATTGATCCCTCAATCAAGACTGGGGCTCACCACCCAGGAGGGAGCCTGGGAAAGAAACGCAGCCATTGGATTTGGGCTGGATGCTGGTGCAGGACTTCTGATGTAAGATCAGGCCTCCCACCGGCTACAGTGAACCTGATCACAGGTCAGCCATCATGCACTGAGATGCTTGGAAAAAGTGTGGAGAACAGCTGATGGGATCAAAAGAGATCCAGAGTGACAGCTTGTCGCTTACTGTCGATCTCCATTGAGGGCTATGCTGGAAAACAACATAATAAATAAATCCGGCCTGTTTTCTAAATGCATGTTATTGATCTGATAGCGAACGATTTATTCATGCATGTTTCATTTTATAAAAAAATTTTTCAACCATTTAATTTTTATTAATCGCAATGTTATAACTCAATCTTCTGTGAAGCGACAGACTTCTCTCTGGTGACTGATGCAAGACTTCTCTGATCGTTTTGTCTGCTTAAAACCTGCCCCTTTTTTACAGTCAACTGCAAGCTTGCATTTAGATGATCCTTCATCCAATCAACAACCAATGAATGTCCCTACCTTTTATTTTATTTTTTTATCAGTTGGATGTTTGTCACAATACAGAAGAAAATATCTGGGGCTACATCTGTTTCATTGCAACTTTAAAACTAATTGTAGACAACTTATAGTAACTATTGGGGACTATTGAGGGTGTTTTGAAGAATCCTATTGGTTCAAAGGAAAACATGCAACTTACATGAATTCTGTATGTTTTAATACTTACAAATGAGGCTGGAATAATGAACACTGAAACACAAAGAAAAAGAAAAAAAAAGCTTGCATTTATATGACATTTATAAGACTTGTTGGGCATTCACACTGACAGTGAAGTTATTTTCAATGTGAATTCAATCCCCTTTGAATGAGGGTTGCCAATTTTCAATGACATAAGTAAAAAAAAAAAAGTTTCTTTTTTTTTAAGCCGGAAGCTGAAAAACTTGCATTTATATGACATTTATAAGACTTGTTGGGCATTCACACTGACAGTGAAGTTATTTTCAATGTGAATTCAATCCCCTTTGAATGAGGGTTGCCAATTTTCAATGACATAAGTAAAAAAAAAAAAGTTTCTTTTTTTTTAACTTTTTGGTGCCAAGGACTCCCAAATATAATAATCCTTTTTTACGAACCCTATTCCTAAAATATAATATAAATTATATTTATTAAAAGGCCCTTTTGTACTGTTGAGAAAAACAGTGTCATGTAATATCGTATTAGATTATATAAAAGATTAAAGGGATAATTCACCCAAAAATGAAAATGTGATGTTTATCTGCTTACCCCCAGGGCATCCAAGATGT